TGGGTCAACGGGGTGAGGGAGACGGGAGATGGATGGTGATAACTGACAATCGAAGAAGAATAAAACTGCTTCAGCAGTTTGAATATGACAGACCATTATAGTGCTTATTTAAATCTTAACATACAATTATAAACCAAAGGATAAGAAAACATTCACAATATACTCTGTAACACTATATTTAGCAGAAAATACAGCAGTTACACTAAAAAAACACTGAATTACAACTCCTAACTTGGGCTGACATGTCACAAGTTTGCTGTACAGATATTATATACATCAACAGAGGGATTTGAGGGAGGGGCTAAAATGACTTGTAGGCAAAATGTAAGGTAGTGTAAAGAGAAAATAGATGCAAAGTGTAAGTTACGTAAGATATAACAATGAAAATAGTCAGGACTAAGGACAATTGCAAATCATGACTATGATCTTGGAATAAAAAAGTAACTAAAATAATTACTGTAAGTACATTTGAGATACAAACATACACTTGGAAAGTTATCTTCAAATGCAAGACTGTGGGTAAGTTAGGCATTATGTTATACACACAATTATGTTTATATCATTGTATTGAAATATACAACTCTACTGATGGTTAGGTCACCCTCCACTTGTCCCAACTTCATCACCTGTACCAAAGGCTTGCTTCTTCAGCTGCTGACACTCATGTTCTCCAAACTGTTCATAATACCTGAGATTTCTATCATTATTTACAGAAACTGGTCAGGCTACAGTGATGACATTATGCATATCGTTTGTTGCTACTTCTATATCTACAAACGTGTAAATACATTAAGTACTTTTTTTGTAAGTCTGCATTCATTGAACTGTCACTGGTGGATTGTTATTGTCAATTACTTCAAATATTAACTTAAATATGATAATGCACACAATTCTATGATATATGGAAAATTTCACAGCATTAGAGGATTCACGGGCTGAATACTCTGAGTGTACGCATGAGAGCAGTGAGTACACCAGCCAGGTTGGTGGCCTGAGTCATGAGGGTGTTCATGGAAGGGTGGTCCATTCCCCTGCCAGCAGCAGAGAGTGCTGCCCGTACTGTGGACTGGTAGGTGGTAGCCACATCCCTCACCTTCACCACCACATTCTGTGTCTGTAGTGGTGTGGTTGTATGCCGCACTACTTGATGGGTAACATCAACCATGCGTTGCATCAGAGTTATACACGTGGCCAGACAGTTAAGTAAAGTATCTTCTGATTCTGTGGCTGACTTTACAAACAATTTAGAGGCAGTTACAAATTGTCTTGATTCACTTGTAAGGGCCTCTCTGGCTTCTTGGAATTTTGCTTCATCTTGAGTGGCAGTGCCTCCAGAACGCTGTGCTTCTGCACAAGCTGCTGCCATCTCTGTTAAGGATTTTAAGGATTGACTAACTACTACTGAAAAACGACGGAAGGCATCTCTTGAAGCTGGAGGCATCACTTCAATATCCTCTGTTTCTTCTAATGAATCTTGATCAAAGCTACCAGAGTCTAAAGAATCATCAAGCTCCATACCATTTGGAGTCTTGCCATTTACCATTTTGTTTTTAGGTGATAGTTTTGGTGAGGACGTCTGAAGAGGAGCAACTTCTTGGTTAAGGCTGTTCTTAAGGGCCACACTGGAGTTATCTGGTCTGGGCAATCTTGAGGTTGTAGAGTTTTTGTCGGCACTTCTTACGGGACTTTTGACACCATTTGATGCTGGTGTTGATGCAGGAACTCTTCGAGCTGGTGACTGACTAGTCTTAGCTGGAAGCAGAGGCTTATGTTCCTCAGTGGCAGCTGACTTACGGCTAACTTTAGGACTCTTCTGAGGAGAACGTGTACCACCTCTAGGGGACGTTGGACTGGCAGCAGGAGCTTTACCACTGGTAGGTGTAGAAGGTGCATTTAATTTGCTTGAAGGACGCGGACGGTGTGTGCCTGGTAAATTATTTGTTGGAGAAGTTGTTGGACTGAGCTGGGGCTTGCGCAGTCTGGAAGGCACCGAGGGAGGCCGTTCTGTGTTGTCTGGTGAGGGACTCCTTACTGCCTTGCGTGCTGGTGATGGAGAACGCAGGCCCTTGTTTTGAATCGCTGCCTTCACATTGTCCTGTGAATAAAAATTTTCTTTAACAAAATCTTTCATATTTCATTGGATGTACAGTATTGCATATACAGTACTGTATTGTAAATTATTTAAGAAAAATGTTTTTCTTGATACTCTTTCTGTAGTAAAATAATACAGCTTACAATTACTATCTTATCGCCTACTGAAATGAAGTTATTCTCACAATCAAATATAAATTGCATTACCCTTTACCTATATTTCTGAGGGGAGCCCCATGGCTCCCTGGAGCTATCCAGGCTGATAGGGATATATTACACTCTGGCATCAGTCAATGTGCATGGAGTTCTAGGCCTACCGGGAACCACGAGCCAGAACCTCTCCCGCTCAAAGAGACATGAGGAGCAATGGCTTATAGAAACCTCCGTGTGTTTGGAAGCATTCTATGTCTGCCATCGACTGGGTCAGGCACCCAGAAAGGTAAGCGTTCCAAAACAAACCCCCTATTCTGGTTCAAATATTGCTACTGAAAGCCAAACTAGTGGACAGAACTCCCCAAATGAAAACGAGCGAATGAGCATGATGTCACCATATTACCGCGGCCGCTATCTGCACAACCCCACCTCCCCAGGAAGGGGAAGGGGAAACCCCAGACCCTCACGTCCATTATCCATCCTGCAATTCTTCGGCTCATGTGATTGGTCGTGTCTTTTGGGCTCACTTGGAGACTTACCAGGGGAGAGTTGTCCTTCTGACCCCTTGGTGGCTGGCCCAGCCTTGGTTTCAGGTGCTGCTTGCTCAGTGTCCAAACCCGAGGGTCTTCCTGCGGCTCTGCCTCTTTCAGCAGATCGGTCCAGCCCGGTACGTGGCTGGTTCGCTATTCTCTTCGAGTCTTCACGTCTAGGCTTTCTGCCTTGGGGTCTATCATCACTTATGTTGTGCGCGGGTGGCTTCGTTGATAGTGTCCCACCTGCATGCTTCGTCTCGGCGGCAGTATGAAGTTTCCAGGCGGTCCCTTTGTTATTTCTTATCTCTGCGTAGGAGTACTTCTGTCTCAGATGGGGTTGTCTTGACCTTCCTTTCGTGGTTGTTCCAGGGCGGTCATCTTGTGCCGAATACTGTTGCCTCATATCGTGCTATACTTGCGGAGCTGCTGCAGCTTGTGTTCGGTATTGATGTTACTTCTGCTCCATTCCACAAGCTGTCTCATGCGTTGTTTCACCTCCGGCCTGCTCATGCACTGCCGGAGTTGTAATGGTTGTTGGACCGGGTGCTCTTCTCCTTGGTTTGTGGTGGCCCCTTAGGTTCAGGTTTGTGGTGGCCCCTTAGGTTCAGGTTTGTGGTGGCCCCTTAGGTTCAGGTTTGTGGTGGCCCCTTAGGTTCAGGTTTGTGGTGGCCCCTTAGGTTCAGGTTTGTGGTGGCCCCTTAGGTTCAGGTTTGTGGTGGCCCCTTAGGTTCAGGTTTGTGGTGGCCCCTTAGGTTCAGGTTTGTGGTGGCCCCTTAGGTTCAGGTTTGTGGTGGCCCCTTAGGTTCAGGTTTGTTTGGCAAAGGCTCTTTCTTGTTGGCATTGGCCTCTGGGGGTCGGGTCGGGAAGCTTCATGCTTGCCTCCTGGTGCAGGGGGCTCTTTTGGTCCTGGTAGTTGTTTTCTTCGTTTGGAGCTGTCTTCTTATTTTCTGGCGAGGAGTGAGACTGCTGTTTTCCAGAGGAGTCCTTGGGTTTTTGATTCCTGGTTGGTGTGGCCAGGGGTGCATCGTGTGTTGTGTCCGGTTGTGGCTCTCCGCCGTTTCCGGCGGGCCAAGGCCTTGGTGGCCGGGAACGTGCTGTGGGTTGACCGGTTTCCCTTCTTCCCTGTTCTGGGGTTCGGGTCTCCCAGGTTGTCCGCTGGGTCCTTTGGTACGGCCTACCTGCAGTCTATCCTCGTGCCCGTGACATTGTACAGTATGTTTGCTCTGTTGGCGATCGCCTCCCGGGTTTATCCCTCTTGTGTTATCTTTGGGTAAGTAGCTCCGGGAAGCCAACGGGGCTCCCCCAAAATAACTAACATTAAATGTAACAAAACTCCATTTTCTGGGCGAGATCCAGAGGCTTCCCGGCAACCCTCCCTCCCTTCGGTTGGCATTTTTTCACGGGTTTTGACATCCAGCCTCAGAACTGCAGGGTGGATAGCCGGCATGAGGGATTGCGGCTTTCCCTTCCCCCTCCCAGGGAGGATGGGGGGATTGTGCTGATAGTGGAGCGGCAACGTCGTGACGTCATGTGCGTTTGATCGTTTTCATTTGGGGAGTTCTGTCCACTAGTTTGGCTTTCAGTAGCAATATTTAACCAGAATAGCGGTTTGTTTTTGGGGCGATTACCTTTCTGGGTGCCTGACCCGGTCGATGGCAGACATAGAATGCTTCTAACCACACAGGGGTTTCTATTAGACCATTGCTCCTCATGTCTCTCTGAGGGGGCCAGGTTCTGGATTGTGCTCCTGGTAGACCTAGAACTCCATGCACATTGATGCCAAAGTCTAATATATCCATATAAGCCTGGATAGCTCCGGGAGTGCTTCCGGATCTCGCCCAGAAAATGGCGTTTCATTACAGTATATTCAATGCAGGTTTTTTAAATTTCCAAACAAAAAGTTTTTTTGTTTTTTTTTAATACTGCACTTTACAGACTAGCTGACTTTGGAAGCACCAGAATGGGGAATTGAAATGAGTAACCATTTCTCTCTGATAGTTCCTGGGTATACTTGGTATACTCTGGTAACCTGGGTATACTTGGGCTGCAGCTGAATGGAATGGGCTGGTATTTGCTCATTCTTTCTTTTCCATCTTTAACTATGCATGTTATATTTTCCTCATTATTTGCTGATACTTTTACAATTAAACATGCATGTCTAGGAAGTTTTGAGCCATTAGACAACTTCTAAATTTTCAGTGGAAGAATTGGTGACTGCTTGACTGACATGATATCAGGCCATCGGTGGCTGCTTGACTGACAAGATAACCAGGCCATCATTGACTGCTTAACACTTTCGCTCGGGGATGACGCAGCATTGCGTCATCCGTTTACTGGCGGTAATGCCGGGGATGACGCAGCATTGCGTCATCCACTTTAAAAATTCGCCAAAAATCAGGTTTTTATCCGATTTTTTGGGGACTGGTTTTAAAATGTGCGCCGATGTCTTCCCATTTTCTTTGTTGAGCCTCGTCGCCCTCAGGCTGCTTGGCACACGCCGTGGACCCATTGTCTTTGCTCCACTGTTGTGACCAATGTCGCTTCCCCTCGCATCTCAAACGTGTGAACATTTCGGCTATTTTCCGTGGCTATATTTCTTACTGCGGCTTTAGAAACTATCTACGCTTACTCCACGATGGATAGTAATCATGAACAAGGCCCTTCCAGGAAGAAAATTGCGAAAGAAAGGCTTGAAAAGGGTAGGAATTGGGAGTGTAGCAGGAAGGCCTCTGAGCACTCACTCACGGCTAACACGTGGCCCGTCTTCAACTCGTCGGCGGTTGGAGCGTGACCAGGTTTTTTTTTTTATAGGCTAATGTTCCTCTAGAGAATTGTATTACGAACCCATTGAGACCAAAATGAAAGACCTAGGACAAAAATTGAGGTGACCAGAGTGAAAATAGTGAAAACATTTTATCCCGTTTGCGTGCTCCCGGGTAACTCGTTCGCACTTTCTCTGTTTGCTGCGGGTAATTAGCCGGGCTTTTGGAGTTTATATGCATTTAGTGCTGTAGAGAATTTTATTGCGAACACAATGATACCAAATTTAATCTCGTAGAAGGAGAATTGAGGTGACAAAGTTGAAGAGAGTATACACTTTTCGGAATTAACACGCGCTTCTGTGACACTCTGGGGCCCATATCGCCCTGTCGAGGGGTGGCGCGCGGGGTGAGCGAAAGTGTTAAGTAATGTGATAACAAGGCCTTTGTGCATTTTAATCATTTGGTGAACTTGAAATGGCCAACAAAAGTTACAACAGAAAAATTATATAAACCACCATTCCGTTAACCCTTATCATGCAGTGATTATCTTTTTTTTTCTTTTTTTTTATCACCTGGGCTAAATGGTTATCATTTAATAATAACGATCATTATTGTTATTCCTCAGTTTGCATACTGTACTTGAATTTACCTGAGAGTCATGAACACCCTTAGGAGCCGGTCGGCCGAGCGGACAGCACGCTGGACTTGTGATCCTGTGGTCCTGGGTTCGATCCCAGGCGCCGGCGAGAAACAATTGGGCAGAGTTTCTTTCACCCTATGCCCCTGTTACCTAGCAGTAAAATAGGTACCTGGGTGTTAGTCAGCTGTCACGGGCTGCTTCCTGGGGGTGGAGGCCTGGTCGAGGACCGGGCCGCGGGGACACTAAAAAGCCCCGAAATCATCTCAAGATAACCTCAAGATAACCCTAGTGGCTTCAATGATAACAGGAAGCTCGCAGCTTGTTAAAGGCCCCCCCCCTTCTATTAGCCATGATTATTTTTTCCAGCTGGATTTTAACATTTAACAGTTTTTGGTATTTACAGCTTCAGTGGGTAGGCAGTTTCATTGGTTTATAAACTTTTGGGTGAAAAAGCATCTCCTGTTTTCAGTCCTATATAGTGGCTTGTTCAGCTTGAATTCCTTGCTCCTTGTTTGTGTTACATCTAACCTTTTGAAGAAATTGTTTGTATCAACATCTGGCAAATTGTTCAGTATTTTAAACGTTTTAGTGAGATCCACCCTGTCATGCCTGGTTTGCAGTGTTCTTAGCCCTGTGGTCCTCAAGTGTTCCTGGTACATGAATTGACTTAGTTCCGGAATGATTTTTATTGCCTGGTGTTGCACTTTTCTCCAAAGCAGCTATGTCCTTCAGAAGATGAGGTCTCCCTACTTGGATACATATATGGGGTGAACCAGACATTTATCGAATTGAATCATTACCTTCTCTTCCTTAAAGTCAAAGGTACACTTGATTATTCCTAGGGTTTGGTTAGCTATTTTTTTTTACTGCTGCTTCTACCTGTTGTGCAACGTTCAATAAAAATTAGATTTTGACTCCATGGTCTTTGTTCATCAATCTGCTGCAAGGTAATGTTATTAATGTGGTAATTGTGACATGGCTTGTTATGTCCCACGTGCAAAGTCTTGCATATTTCTATATTAAAAAGCATTTGCAAGTCTTTTGACCATTTGTGGAGTTCATGTAGATTTTGTAAGACTTCAATGTCCTTTTCATAAAATTATATTATTATGCCAATCCAAATGGGAAGAAATAATCAAGAACAATGGGGAGGGGGGGGGGAGAATCCTTTGAAAAGATGCTGGCTTCCTGTCCCTTTCGAGGCCACAGGTGATAGTGGCCCTCAAGTGAATTCAGATAAATATGGATGTAATGGAGTTAACCAATGACCATGAAAAAATTCTGTTGTCATTTTTCAGTTGCTTACTATGTAATGAAGTTTGCAGTCATCATACTTTTCATGCAATAGGTGACAGTCAATGCAAACACTACATTGTATAAACTAATAAGTGAAATAACAAGATGAATATACAATTTCCTCCAACCCACACCAGTCAGCGACCATGGTGTATGACATTGAAAGAGAATGCCCGCTACAGCTCTTAAACCTCCCCCCCCCCCAATTATATTTGTTTTTTTTTCTTGGTTTTGCATGCAGATGTATTATCCTATAAGAACAATTCCCCCCCCACAGGCGAGGTGACAATTGTGATGATAGCCACATTTTACGGGTTAGAGATGGAGAGCTCCTAGATAGGTACAGTGCCTAAGGTTTATATTGGTAAATTTAAACATTAAGAATTATGGTAAAGATTAGTTGTAAAGTATAATTTGTTACAATACATCAAGTAGAAGAATCATGTAACCTTCAATGCATACATTGCATGGTCCAGTTTCATTATATTATATGATGTCATGTGACAACTGCAAAATAAATGTTTATTTACTAGGAATGTGACCTCACCTGCGATGGACTTCTTGGAAGAGGAGGCTTCATGGCAGTTTTAGGTCCATTTCTTGGAGGCAGTTCTGGAGGGTCCTCATCATTGTCTAAGCTTTTGAGAGAGGCTGATTTGACAGTTACCATACTTGAAGACGAAGTGAGCGAGTCATTGCTAGAAGCTACACTCTGTTTGGAAGGCGACCCTGGGGAGGCTTTGGCTTGACTACTGATATCTTCACTGGAGGCTGAAGACATGGTGGTTTGGGTGGGTGACTTTAAGATGGTGTTATAACTAGAGTGAATTGTCATGTCATCTTCAGAGGCAGACTTTGAAAGGTTACCGGTGCTCATAGAAATGCTTCTTTGGATTTTTGATGAGGGAGGAAATGGGTTAGATTTCTTTGGATTAGTAAGAGTACCTGTTCGAGTAATAGGAGTGCGTGGAGGAGGAGGAGGAGGAGACTCCTCTTCCTTTACATCTGCCTTACTGGTTGGCACAGTCATTTGGCGTTGAAGTGTTGAAGGTCGTTGTAGAGAACCAGTACCCCACTTTCCTCCAGAACTAAAGGTTCGCACTCTGGACATTACTGAAGGATGTTTGAAATCACTGCACTCTTTTCCTTTTTCCTGACCTCCACCCGTAATTTTGGCATTCATGAGTTGTTGTCTCTTGAGAGTGTCAAAACTTTTGAACATCTTATCATTTTCTTCCAACGCCTGTGCCAATTTGGCATCAAGTTCATGTCCTACATTAGAACTATTTGATTTGAGACTATCATAACCCGACGAATCACTTGGAGAATGAGAGCTTTCTTTGCTAAGCTTCAGCAGCAACTGTCTATTGTCTATGGAGGCACTAGAGTTAGATGAATTATTGTGTGTTGTCCGAGGAGAAGTTTCAAAGCGTCTTTGAAGGGACGCTACCTTCCCCGCCAGAGCGGTACGTTTGGGCACTGTTTCTGAGCTGACACGCACCTCTGCAATTTCGTGGTCCTTCTCTCCTTCTTCAACATCACTGTTGTCTTCACACACCATCTAGAAAATTTATTACTCATGTTAGCTAATTAGAAATTTAAAACATTTATAAATTAGTGAGTGTAAGAATTCTAAAGGCTTACATGATACACATGTATCATGTGTAATTAGCAAAGTGCATTACATGATAGTGAATGGAAGAGAATAGGAAATGATAGAGAAATTGGTCAGTAATGAACTTAGTGGGCTCTCAGGTGAAATAAGATATGTAGATCAGATGATTACATTGAGTCGGTTTATAGAGAAAGTATGTGAGAAAGCTTGTAAGGTGTTCATGGTTTATTATACTTGAAGTGACATAAAGAAAGTGGCTTGCACAGTCTGCTCTCAACCGACTAGAGCAGAGTTCTATTCCTGGGCTGGGTGAAACATTTGGGTACAGTTCCTTGCACCATTGTCTCTGCACACTGATGAGCAGTATATAGGTGCCAGGAGTTAGGCAACTCTTATGGGTTCCATCCAAGGGAAGATCCATTTAGGGAGGGATCGCTTAGAGGGATCTCATTAGGCCTAATAAGCTTTCTTTCCCTGACAGATGGGAACTATGACATAGTCTTGAAAGTGATAAGCATGTATGGAAGTGATTGCATTTACTAGAGGGCCACTAGCACACTATAGTGGCCAAGACAAAGATAAGCCGGAACATTGTCAATGGTCCCCTATTTGTCTTGACAAATTTTTTCAATCTGGATTTTAAAGTTCAACAGTGTTTTGCCATTTACAGCTTCTGTGGGTAAGCAGTTCTACTGGTTTATAACCCTATGGGTTAAAAAGCATCTCCTATTTTCAGTGTTACGCTGATTTTTCAGACAGCCCTGTGTACAGGAGTCGTAGCAGATGTGTGGAAAAAGGCTAACATAGTTCCAATCTACAAAAGTGGCAGCAGGGAAGACCCCCCTCAATTATAGACCTGTATCATTCAAAAGTGTAATAGTCAAAATATTGGAAAAAATAATAAAAACTAAATGGGTAGAACACCTGGAGAGAAATTATATAATATCAGACAGACAGTATGGTTTTCAATCTGGAAGATCCTGTGTATCAAATTTACTCAGTTTTTATGATCGAGCCACAGAGATTTTACAGGAAAGAGATGGTTGGGTTGACTGCATCTATCTGGACCTAAAAAAGGCTTTTGACCAAGTGCCACATAAGAGGTTGTTCTGGAAACTAGAAAATATTGGAGGGGGTGACAGGTAAGCTAACATGGATGAAAAATTTTCTGACATAGAAAAATGAGGGCAGTAATCAGAGGCAATGTATCGGACTGGAGAAATGTCATAAGTGGAGTACCACAGGGTTCAGTTCTTGCACCAGTGATGTTCATTGTCTACATAAATGATCTACTAGATGAAATACAGAATTATATGAACATGTTTGCTGATGATGCTAAGATAATAGGGAAGATAAGAAACCTAGATGATTGTCATGCCCTTCAAGAAGACCTGGACAAAATAAGTATATGGAGCACCACTTGGCAAATGGAATTTAATGTGAATAAATGCCATGTTATGGAATGTGGAATAGGAGAACATAGACCCCACACAACCTATAAATTATGTGAGAAATCTTTAAAGAATTTTGATAAAGAAAGAGATCTAGGGGTTATCTTGAGGTTATCTTGAGATGATTTCGGGGCTTTAGTGTCCCCGCGGCCCGGTCCTCGACCAGGCCTCCACCCCCAGGAAGCAGCCCGTGACAGCTGACTTAACTCCCAGGTACCTATTTACTGCTAGGTAACAGGGGCATTCAGGGTGAAAGAAACTTTGCCCATTTGTTTCTGCCTCGTGCGGGAATCGAACCCGCGCCACAGAATTACGAGTCCTGCGCGCTATCCACCAGGCTACGAGGCCCATACGAGGGGTGGTTCTAGATAGAAAACTATCACCTGAGGACCACATAAAGAACATTGTGCGAGGAACCTATGCTATGCTTTCTAACTTTAGAATTGCTTTTAAATACAGTACATGGATGGTGAAATACTAAAGAAATTGTTCACGAGTTTTGTTAGGCCAAAGCTAAAATATGCAGCGGTTGTGTGGTGCCCATATCTTAAGAAGCACATCAACAAACTGGAAAAGTGCAAAGACATGCTATTAAGTGGCACCCAGAACTGAAGGGCAAGAGCTACGAGGAGATGTTAGAGGCATTAAATATGCCAAAACTAGAAGACAGAAGAAAAAGAGATGATATGGTCACTACATACAAAATAGTAACAGGAATCGATAAAATTGATAGGGTAGCTTTCCTGAGACCTGGAACTTCAAGAACAAGAAGGCATAGATTTAAACTAACTAAACAAAGATGCCGAAGAAATATAAGAATTTACTTTTGCAAACAGAGTGGTAGACAGTTGGAACAAGTTAAGTGAGAAGGTGGTGGAGGCCAAAACCGTTAGTAGATTCAAAGCGTTACATAACAAAGAGTGCTAGGTAGACGGGACACCACGAGTGTAACTCTCATCCTCTAATTATACTTAGGTAATAATACTTAGGTAATAACACATACACATAATAATTACTGTGTGACTGGCTGGGTAGTTTAGCTGGTTGGTTGGTTGATTGGTTGGCTAGTGTGTGGGGCAAGTGGGTGGACAGACGGGCTGGATGAATAGATGGATAACTAACTGGCTGTCAGGTATGGGGTGGGAGGCAGGCAGGCAGGCACACAACATTCAAAAACACACCCACACCCACTCCATACTCCCCTCTCGCCTGAAGGTTCCCTCCTTCCCTTCCTCCACCACCCTCCCAACCCTCACGTACACTCAATCCTTCCCTTCCTACACATGCCGTCCTCTCCCTCCCAGCTCTTCCGGAACCGTCTCAGCCACCACCAGCAGTCATTATAAGGACACGTCAAGAAAATGGTTGTGAATCTCTCACTCGCCCTCCACAAAAGCACCCCTATACACACCCAGCATATCCCAAACTCCGATACATGTACACTCACACATGCACCTCACAAACACACTCACCCACATCCCAAATCTCCACACCAGCCTACACCACCACATCCCAAACAGTCCCTCCAGACTCTCCCCTCTCTCTCCAAAACCCTCGACCTTGAAACCTGCCACCTCCAAAATTCCCCATACCCCACGCCTCGACCCACTGCTACAGTATGACCTGATGCCTGACTGCATTATCCAGCAAAATCTTTGGTTATCTGAATTCCTATTCAGATATGGTGAAGTTTTTATCCAGCCTCAAAAACTGCCAGATAACCCAAAGATTCGGAAAAGCGGGCTTCAGATAAGCGAGATTATACTGTAATTCATGGATGGGTCATGAAAGATGTCAAGCTAAGAATACAGTACAGTATCAGAAAAAGTTGTAAACCTAATATGAAGATCTGATGAATGAAGATGATAATTCTTTTAGCAGTGTGTTACTGTAAAAAATTTACTTAGATAAGCTGAAAGTTTTGATTGATGTATGAGAAGACGGTTTAAAGTGAATGTGGGCAATACTCATGTTATATGCTAATTAAGAGAATAGGAAATCGTGTGAAATAAATATGAATTGCATACTAGAAGTGGTCAATCAGTTTCAATACTTGCATATGTGATATCAAGGGAATTGGTGCAATTGAAGTAGTTGCAATTGAACATCTGTTACACTGATGTTCTGACAATATTGCAATACTGCATAAGTAAGTCCAATGTGATCCTCGCCAAGAGCACCATCAAGGCTCGCCAAACCTCGATACGAGGTTAGACAGACAATAAACACTCTTTTACCTACTCACTAAAGCTGTGAAAGCTGGGGCTTCACTTCAAAACAAAAATGAAAGAGCTCATCAGGAAGAAGGGTGAGACATGCTTCCTACCCCCACTGGAGATGGTTGCTACTTGGTAAATACCAGCACAAAGTTAGATCTGTGTTCCTAACAGTAACATATCCTATTGTAGGCCATTAAACACTACACAAAATAACATATGGGTACTAAGGTACAATGAAGCAAATATGCTCATGAAAATGTTCCAGTAAATGTAAATTACCAAAAGAAAAAGATAATCTTTACCCTACTGATGCCTTCTTTGGCTTCATATAGTCTTCTTATGATATCTGATGACCTGTTGTCTTTCTCATCTGAAGTTGGAGGGGGAGGGATGATAAAAGCGGATATGTCATACTCGTTTCCCATTCTGCGGTTTTCAGCACATGTTTGAAGGTCCTGGGAATACAAGCATTACACTTCCTTAGAGAATTTATAAGAATACCACATGATAATTCTTAATGTTGAAACTAAGATTAATTTAGTGTAGAGTTTGTAAAACCATATATCATACTGTGTACCTATCATATGTAATGTACAAAATGAAATTACCTTGTGTATACTGTGTATTATTGATAAAGCTCTTTGCTTATTGGTAAATGCTCTTTGACTTACTACACATCCTTCAGGTGGTGGTGGAATGGTAAGGTTAGCAATGAAGGAGTCAATATCTTCACCTTCCTCCAGATGAATACCAAGCTGGCGGAGGGCTGCTAGGGTGAAGCTGGGGCCTTTGGTGCCTCCATTGCCACCTGAGCCTCTATTGATGCCCGATCCATTGAGTGGGGAAAAGAGAGAGTCGTTGGAGGTGATGCTGGTGTTGAGACTGCTCAGCGATGTGCTGTCCTCCGTGTCACTCGCTCCTGGAGTATGTTAATTAAAAGCTTTTATTTGTTGCCATTTTTTAATCGAAAATGATTGGTTTTACAGAATTGGTTTAATTGGTTTTACAGAAACCAATTAAATAAGCTCTTTAAAATGTTTTTTTTTTATTTCTCTAAACAATACCCAGTACTATATTACTGTACAGTATTTGTAAGAGAATTTATATTTTCAAATTACTAAAAAACTATACTGAAATTTGTATCTGTTTAGCTATTATGATTGTTCATCACCAGAAGAAATAGACATGAAATTATCTTACACTCAAGAAGCGTACCTACAAAATATCAGCAAGACTAACACTATGGAAGTCATATGTATGTTCTGAATTATGGTGATTATGTTCATTATGGTGATGACTAAACATGCACTTGATAGATCTTAGTAGTATTCCATTTTACAAGTTATTTTAACATTGAATGGAATTGTAACAATAATAATAATGTCTCAACTAATGATTAAAAAAAATATGACTGACCCGTGGTAGTCGAATCAGAGTAGCTGGCTACAGTATCCTGCTCGAGCCAACTTGGGTTGGTGAGTGATCTCAAGTCACCCAAATCTTGCTCAAGGGCCTTCAATTCCTTTTCCAAAGTTTCCCGATCAGCAAAGGGTGTGGGTGGGGTGCTAACCTGTGGTGGGAATACCTTTGTGCCATCCTGAAGAAAGAAAATATATGTTAGCTTTAGTGAAAGTAATACTGTACCGAAATGTAATCATTGAAACTTAACTTCGGGTGCACACAATAAGCCTGGCAGGTTATAAATACAAAGACAAACTAAGAGTCCCAGTAATACAGTTGGGTTTGTTCTCGACTCACAATTGGGAATTCTGGGTTTGAACCCCAGGTGGGACAGAAATGGTTGTGTCCTGACTGTTATACCTAGTTCTAATTACATTTCATCTGCCATTAGGTTTCTGCAGAACATGTTTGCCATGTCACTAGGCTATGCTTACTACTACGGGGGTACATTAATATGATAATTAATATGAGAATGGTAGCCTGCAACTGTGATTTAAGAGTTAGATGGAAAAGTTTAGCAGCAATGTGCCTGATTTCAGTTCCTATCACCTAATGCCCCTGTTTACCTAGCAGTAAATAGGTACTCAAGAATTAGTCGGCTTGTTGTGGGGTTGCACCCTTGGGAGGGTAAGTAGTTCAACCTTGGAGGGGACCTCGATATAAGCCAAACATGTATGTTTGTGTACTTGCTGCCTGTCCCCCTGACACAATAAATTATATATATATATACATATATATATATATACATATATATATATATACATATATATATATATACATATATATATATATATATATATATATATATATATATATATATATATATATATATATATATATATATATATATATATATATATATATATATACATATATATATATATACATATATATATATATATATATATATATATACATATATATATATATACATATATATATATATACATATATATATATATACATATATATATATATACATATATATATATATACATATATATATATATACATATATATATATATACATATATATATATATACATATATATATATATACATATATATATATATACATATATATATATATATACATATATATATATATATATATATATATATATATATATATATATATATATATACATATATATATATATACATATATATATATATATACATATATATATATATACATATATATATATATACATATATATATATATACATATATATATATATATACATATATATATATATACATATATATATATATACATATATATATATATACATATATATATATATACATATATATATATATACATATATATATATATACATATATATATATATACATATATATATATATACATATATATATATATACATATATATATATATACATATATATATATATACATATATATATATATACATATATATATACATACATATATATATATATATATATATATATATATATATATATATATATATATATATATATATATATATATATGTCGTACCTAGTAGCCAGAACGCACTTCTCAGCCTACTATGCAAGGCCCGATTTGCCTAATAAGCCAAGTTTTCATGAATTAATTGTTTTTCGACTACCTAACCTACCTAACCTAACCTAACCTAACTTTTTCGGCTACCTAACCTAACCTAACCTATAAAGATAGGTTAGGTTAGGTAGGGTTGGTTAGGTTCGGTCATATATCTACGTTAATTTTAACTCCAATAAAAATAAATTGACCTCATACATAATGAAATGTGTAGCTTTATCATTTCATAAGAAAAAAATTAGAGAAAATATATTAATTCAGGAAAACTTGGCTTATTAGGCAAATCGGGCCTTGCATAGTAGGCTGAGAAGTGCGTTCTGGCTACTAGGTACGACATATATATATATATATATATATATATATATATATATATATATATATATATATATATATATATATATATATATATATATATATATATATATATATATATATATATATATACAAAACTGTATCAAGTTAAATTAAATATGTAGACAATTCTCACTCTGTGAGAGATTCAATAACTTAAATTCAGACTTCCATGAATTTCTTAACACAAAATTTGTAAATTCACAAAGACGAGGTCCTTTAAATGCAAGGCGATGCAAAAGATTTATGTAACAAGATGCTTTGGTATGCAGTCCCTGCATACTGTACTATACTACTGTACTATAGTCCCTGCATACTGTACTATACTGTACTACATACTGAATCTATCGCCGAAAACATGCCCAAACATAGCAACAAGCAAGGTAGGGGTGCCTCTCGCTCTGCATCCATTACTCCTAGAGATCTGAATGGAACACTGGCAACGCTGCAATCCTCGCCGATGTTGGTAAACACAGCATCCGCTCCCCCTCCTCACTCCCCCCCCTTCAACTCGAATCTCAAGCTCTAGAATTCATTCAATCTATGGCTCCCTGTCTAAATTTCAAACCTCTCAGAAGTAACCCATGGCTGCAGAAACTGCACAACCTTGTGCTAATGCAATCTGAAGCTATTTCGGCCCTCCAAGCCACAGTCACCCGACAACAACAAACCATAGACCGCCTCCTTGAATCGTCGACGAACAACAACCAAGAAATTCTCAACTTACAAACTGTTGCAAATGATGCAATGGATCAAATACATAAGATTCAGGCCGAGGAAACCCTCTCAGCTCAAAGTGACCTCCTTCAAAAGCTGGAAAAACAGATCAATCTCCTTCAGATTCACCAGGCGGCTTCCGAAGATGACCAAGAGCAACAACAACTTCATGACTCCCTGTTAATTAGCTCTACTGATCTACCTGATGAACAACAAGGTGAGAATTGTTGTAACATAGCCCACACCCTAATTAATTCAAAGATCAAAGTCAATGTTGATATCAAATCAGCTATCAGGATAGATAAAAACAGTTCCCGTAGCAGTAGGAGAATGCTCATCAAACTTGCAAATCCCTCTGTTAAGTTTGACCTCATACAATCAGCTGCTAAGCATAAAACCAACCTCTATATAAATGAGTGCCTTACAAAGCAGCGTGGATCCCTCCTCTACAGGCTGCGTCAAATTCGCAAACTAAACCCTAGTCTTATCAAGCAGTGCTACACTAGGAATGGAATGATTATTGCAAAGAAGGAAAGTGCAGGAAAAAGATATGAAATAAAGTGTGACCAACAACTACTGGCCTTCTTTAGTGATTGTGGTATATCTGAAAACCTGAACCCGACCAATGCCAGTACTTAAAATAACTCTTTCAGTGCCTGAGCCTAACCTAACTTAATCTAACTTTGTCCAAGGTGCTGTCTCTGCCTTACCATTTACCTAATGTTCTCTCATTCATATAATTTCCTAAATAATCCGTCAAGTCTCCATGCACTTATGCAAGCATCTACCTCAGTATCATTGTAAAATTTTACTCTTAAATCTAATCCTACCCTATTCTTTTTAAATTTTAAATTTAATTGTATTGATTTATGTCATTTATTGAAATCAATTATTGATCTCATTTTGTTCTCTTAATTAAGTTCATACTAATTATAGGTTAAAAACTAAGCTAAATAAAATTTATTATCTTTAAGATTATTTTACTTTACAATTATCATTTGTCAAATTTTTATATATTCATCTTGACAGTCTCTACTGATTTTTTGTTCTCTCCACCAAACTTGTGTATCCTCCATGGCTATCTAGTGACCTTTATTCTACCTCTAATTGTTTCAATTCTTTTGTTTACTTGCATTTATTGTTGTGTTTTGCTATAATTATTCTCTAATTTTAGTAGACTTAATACTTTGTAAGCTCTTATTGTATTGTTATATTATTGTATTGTGTTTTGCTATAATTACTTTCTATTTTACAGCAGATTTAGTATTTATCTGTTCCTGTAATTGCTTATCATATTGTATCGTGACATTATTTTATCTATATGCTTACTGATATTGATCCTGATCAAAATCTTCTGTCCCATATCCACACAAATCAGCACATTGATCATCATTATTGCAGGTATTACACAGCAAATCTTGCAAGAAACAAACTCCTAAATAGCACCTGCTTATCAGTTTACAACCAAAATGTTAGGTCACTTGGTAAACATTTTGATGATATAAATGCACTACTTACAGCACTAGGTACTAAATTATCATTCATCATTTTAACAGAAACTTGGCTAAGTAATGACTATACCCAACTCTACAATCTAGCTGGTTATAAAGCCATTCATAACTGTAGGCCTAATAAAAAAGGTGGCGGTACAGCAATATATTACAAAGATACCTTCATTTGCAAGTGTTATTAGTGATAGAGACGACTATTGTGAATATACCTTTGCCAAGTTCTCCAGTAAATCCCTTAAATCCTCCCTGACTATCGGTGCCATCTATAGATTTCCTAATACAGTACCAACATAGCTTTATTCTCAGACAATGTAAGGAATCTTATCATAAATAACAATCTTAACAAAAATCACATTCTGGGAGGTGATTTCAATATTGACCTGGGTCTTCAAAACAACCCTCAAGTTGACTATTTCCGTAACAGCATGCACTCCTGTATGCTAATCCCCACAATCACCAAGCCCACCCGAGTCACTCAAACATCTGCCACTACCCTGGATCACCTATGGACTAATATAACAGCTCCCCTTACATCTGGGGTAATTTATGACAGAACAACTGACCACTATCCTACCTTCCTCATAGCAAACATGGACACATCACCACCAGAAACCAAGAAACTCTCATTCAGGCTACATAGTGAATCAGCTTTAGGCAATCTCTCCAATGCACTTCACAATATTAACTGGGAATCTGAATTTAATAATTCACAGGATATAAACTCATCAACTAACCTCTTTCTCTCCAAAACTCTAAGCCTCTACAACACTCACTGTCCCCTCCTTACCAAACAAGTAACTGATAAAAGAAGAAAAAATAACCCGTGGCTCACAAGTGGCATAATTAAATCAATCAACAAAGAACATGAATATGAAAAGAAATTTAGGAGTGGCCTAGTTTCAAAGGAAGTAGTTAAAAGGTACTCATCAGTGCTTACCAGTATCATAAGAAAAGCAAAACTTTCATATTATGAGACTAGATTCAAAGAAGCAAAAGGCAACATGAAAAGCACATGGAATACCATCTCTAATATCCTAGGAACTAAACAACACTCCCACAACCCGATAACACTCTCTAAGGATGGCCTTACACCGTCATCTGACTTAGAAATGGCGAATGAATTTAATAGCTTCTTTTCATCGATTGGTGCTAACCTTGCAAGTAAAATCCCACAGACTCAGACACATATCAACACATATCTCTCAGGCAGCTATCCAAACTATCTTCTCCTTTCACCAGTCAGCCCGACAGATGTTGTGTCCATCATACACTCACTAAAAACAAAAGCTGAGAACATCAGTGAAATCCCATCCATTGTATACAAGAGCGCCTCCCATGCCCTTGCGCCACCTATAGCTCTGCTGTTCAACAAATCCCTTGAGTGTCATACCTTCCCTGATATCCTTAAAAAAGCAAGAGTAACGCCAGTTCATAAAGGAGGTAATCCGGCAGACATAAACAACTATAGACCAATATCGAACCTACCCATACTATCAAAAATATTTGACAAAATTATCTACAAACAGCTCTACTCCTACCTCGTAAAATTCGACATTCTTAGCCCGTCAGTTTGGCTTCCGCTCTCAAAAGAGTACCAACGATGCAATTATTAGTCTCCTTGATATAATTTACTCAGCCCTTGACAAAAATGAGTTTCCGATTGGACTCTTCATTGACCTGAGAAAGGCCTTTGATACTGTTAATCACGATTACCTCTTATGTAAACTCCATCATTATGGAATCCGAGGCCATGCACTGGACTATATCCAATCCTATCTTAGTGATAGACACCAATGTGTAGCCATCAATAATATAACTTCTCCCATTCTACCAATAACCGTTGGAGTGCCACAGGGCAGCATCTTGGGACCTCTTCTATTTCTTATATACATCAATGATCTGCCTAATGTCTCTAACATTCTGAAACCTATTTTGTTTGCTGATGATACTACCCTCATCTACTCCAACCCAACCCACATACACTAAATGATGTTAATAATGAACTAAAAAAAGTCCACTGATGGATATCAACCAGCAAACTAACACTTAACATAGAAAAGACCTACTACATCCTATTTGGAAGCAAATCTACAAATGCAATTCAGCTTCAGATAGACAATGTAAACATTAGCAATAAAAATGATGGAAAGTTTCTTGGCCTATTCCTAGACAAGAGACTCAACTTCAGTACCCACATACAACACATAACTAAGAAAGTCTCTAAAACAGTTGGTATACTCTCCAAAATCAGATATTATATACCTAACTCTGCTCTCATCTCTCTATATTATGCACTACTCTATCCCTATCTCAACTATGGTATCTGTGCATGGGGTTCAACCACTGCAAACCACCTCACGTCCATCATCACCCAGCAAAAATCTGCTATCAGAATAATATCAAATTCTGCTTTCAGACAACACTCAGCCCCCTTGTTTAACTCCCTAAACATGCTAAACATAATCTCACTCCATAAATTCTCTTGTGTCAACTACATTTACAAAACCCTGTTCTTAAATGCAAATCCTGCTCTGAAACTCTTCCTGGACAGATGTAATAGGACCCATTATCACCACACCAGAAATAAATATATCTTTCATATCCCCAGAGTTAAACTTAATCTGTGTAAACACTATGCAAATAAAGGGACCCAGTTTATGGAACTCACTCCCTACTGAATTGAAAAACTGTCCAACTTTTACATCATTCAAAATCAATACTAAAAAGTACCTAATTTCATCTTCATAGTTTTTCACTTTTTGCCTTAAAATTGCACTGTATCTATTGCTACCCAATCTCCCAACCTTTATGTTCCCAATTTGAACATCTTTACCATTGTGATCATTGCTGTCTTCTTATATGTGCTGCCAATCTGCTGTATGGTGTTTATAAATCTTGTTTATCTGTATAAATAAATAAATAAATAAATAAATAAATTTATTTATTTATACAGATAAACAAGATTTATAAACACCATACAGCAGATTGGCAGCACATATAAGAAGACAATATAAGCACATATAAGAAGACAAGCACATATAAGTACCCAATCTGAATATCTTTACCATTGTGATCATTGCTGTCTTATATGTGCTGTCAATCTGCTGTATGGTGTCTATTAATCTTGTTTAAATTACTAATCAAGCTGTCAATGTAATCAATCAGAGCTTTAATATAACAATGTGCTTTAATATACTTACTAAGCTTTCTCATCTCATTTTCTCTTGCAATGTATCTTTATCATTTATCAATTCTGATAGAAATTACCTACTTAAAATTATCTGTTAGATTAAGGACCTGCCCGAAACGCTGCGCGTACTAGTGGCTTTACAAGAATGTATATACTGTACTATCCAATGTATTCTCACAAACCCAATGTACCTTCTTGTATATTTATAAATAAATAAATAAATATTGACTTCAAACTCCCCCTTTACAATTATCTAGTGCAATAAACACTGTTGTATTCTTGCATCAAGCAATTCCCAAATATTCTGTACTTCATTTATACTATATTTCTGGCTAGAAAGTAACATTAAGTGTAATGAAAAAATTCTCAGAGTAGCAAATGCAACAGAGACTACAGGGAGCCTCGTGTGGCTCCGTAACTAGAGAAGAGCCTCTATAATCTGTGTTCTAGTACTAAGTCATCTAGCAACATAAAGGAAATATTTATCTTGAGCTCCAATATATAAATAGGTACTGCTTTAAAAAAAAAAATACAATGTAAACTTTGTGTGCAAGGCTTTTTATGTATAGGAGCTTTCCTTGTATAATGGTAGCTTATGTGACCTCATAGCTCTGTTAATGTAACAGAAATATTTGTATAAAGTTGTAAAGATTGAAAGCACCCATAACCTGCAATTTAAGTCTTGTTCCTATGGGCTTACCTAGGCTAAAATTTGGCTTAAGTTTTCTCAATCAGAAACATTGTGAAGCAACAATAGGGATCCTTTTTTGTGACATACAAATGTTGAAACTTAGTATCCTTTACTGAGGATACAAAACACATTAAATTTCCTAAATATATATATATATAATTATTAAAGCATGCATTATGCTAGAGAAACTAAATGCAGGAGTGATTAGAGTACGAGAGACTGACCTCATCTGGAGTGATAGGAGGTGGGATCATAGTAAGGTCGATGATATCTGGATCGAGATAAAGTGTGCCCTCTGCAAAGGTGTAGGGAAGACCAGAGTTGTCTTCTAGCTGCTTAATGAGTGCCTTGATGTCATTTTCACGGCTCTGTAAAGTGATGGGCAGGTTGTCTGGGGAGTGCAGGCCAAAGGATGACCCACTTGGCTTGAGGACTGATGAGGGACGTTGCGGAGGCTTGGCAGCTGTCAAGAGGAAAATTAGATTAGGCTTTTAATAATGTTTATATACCCTTGTTAGCACAGTATAAATGTTTAGGGCGTGATGGGATTGTGGTGGAGGGGAAACTACAATAATAATGGTGGTGGTGGTGATGAAGCAAAATACTAATTCAAGCATACTCAATTTATCTGTGTTGACAAATAAATGTCTTCTTGTCCTCATCGAGGCCACTAGAGTTAGGGGCCCTCAGGTAAATCAGGTAAAAAATACAATACTGCATTCTCATCTGAACATAACTGTCAGAAGTGTATGTTGGAAGATTACATAGATATCTCACCGGGTCTGTGTGCCGGGCTCTGATTGGGCGTTGCCCGCGAGTCCGTATCACTGCCCGAGCGTTCTTCACTCTCCACTACCTCGCCATTTGGCAATAGCTTCTGACCCTGCAAAACAAAACCACTATGTTAAAAAGTCATGTTTCTCTTAGCAGCACAGTACTGTACTGCCAAATGTAGTACAGTGACACCTCGGCTTACAAATGCCCCTATTTATAAACTTTTCGGGTAACGAGCTCAATTTCTTCGTAAAATCTGAATCGGGTTACGAGCTTTGCCTCTGGAAATAAAATTTGTTGATACACGTATGGCCGACCTAGCGTGTGGTGGCACGGCGATCGCACCTCAGTTTACCAGTGCCTCCCGGCTAATGACAATCGTTATCTTGAGGTTATCTCGAGATGATTTCGGGGCTTTTAGTGTCCCCGCGGCCCGGTCCTCGACCAGGCCTCCACCCCCAGGAAGCAGCCCGTGACAGCTGACTAACACCCAGGTACCTATATTTTACTGCTAGGTAACAGGGGCATAGGGTGAAAGAAACTCTGCCCATTGTTTCTCGCCGGCGCCCGGGATCGAACCCGGGACCACAGGATCACAAGTCCAGTGTGCTGTCCGCTCGGCCGACCGGCTCCCTAATCGTGTCTGAATTCTTTGTAAAGAATTAGTTTTTATCAGATTTTTGGGTATTTGAACATAAAAGTTGTTATTATATATCTCGCCATGGGTCCCAAGAAAGCCAGTGGTAAGGTTCAAGCCAAGAAAACACATGTGAGAATGACCATAGAGGAAAAACAAGAGATCATTCATAAACATGAAAATGGTATGAGGGTTGTTGATGTAGAGTAGAGGATGTCCCTTTCTCATTTATTAAGAAAATGTGTGAAGTATGGGAAGAATTGCAAAGTTTTGCTGAAAAGTGTCACTCAAATCAAGCTGTAGCAGACCGTTGTGTTAACCTTTATAATGACAGTGTGATGTCTCACTTCAGCCAAGTGTTACAATGTAGGGAAAAACAAGTGTTGCTAGACATATTTTTAGTGAGAAAAACAAGCAGTGAGCCACAAGCAGGTCCTATAGTGGTATGCAGGCAAAACGTACCAGAGTGTGTACCCCAAAGAAGTCATCACTGCCTGATGTTATAATGGAAGGGGAGTCCCCTTCCAAACACTAACACCTATCCTCCTACCTCCTCCTCACTGTCTTCCATACGCCAAAAAGAGTCATCAGTAAAGGTAGATAATAACTTGTACATACTTTAGTACTGAAGATTTGGGTGAATTAGGAATAAAATATACTTTGAAGTTAATTTTTTGGGGAGTCTGGAATGGATTAATCCAATTTACATTATTTCTTATGGGAAATTCGCTTCAGTTTACGAATATTCGGCTTACGAGCCGTCTCTGGGAACGGATTAAATTCGTAAGCTGAGGTACCACTGTACTGTAAAATTACCATCAAATTCAATTTATAAAAACATGATTATAGCCTATTACTATATTCTTCATTATGAAAGCTCAACACAATTATTTAATTTATTATTTACTAAATAATTGTGTTGTAAATAATTTAAACTCAATTATTGATCATGTGAAATACACAAGTCAGGATACATGAGACATTAATATGAGAATGGTAGCCTGCAACTGTGATTTAAGAGTTAGATGGAAAAGTTTAGCAGCAATGTGCCTGATTTCAGTTCATAAAAAAAAAATTGAAGCCAGAAAAGTAATCAAGTTGGGAATACAGTACAGTACCTGGGTCAGAAGTAGGAGAGAATCAGAGTGCTTTAATCTGCCATATTGATCAGAGCGTACGCTTTCCGTCTCGGTAGTCTCGCCGTCCGCGTCACTCAGGTAGTTCTCAGCATCCTCCACCAGCTGCTGTAGTTCTGCCACACGCTTGATCACCTCAACATCAAAATAATATAGTTAGCTTTTTTGAATGTCATTATATTTTACAGAAGCTGTAGGCTGATTAGTCTTGTGATACAACTGTGATATATTTCACTCATGATACACACACTTATAAGCTCCCTTAAAGACTACTAAATTTCACTCGCTCAGTAACTGTGTTAGACCCGTTAAGAATCTATGATCCTTATTAATATATTCTGTAATTTAATTAGTGTTACCTGATAACTAAGTTAACCATGGTTAAATAGCTCTTAAACAACTTCATTTGCTTCAAGACTATTAAATATTGTAGATACTGTATTTACATTAAGCAATGTCAAAGTAGTCTGAGACTAGAGATATGTTTTGTATTTTGAATGTTAAAAGGTATAAAGTTATTTAATCACTGACACATTACATCATGATCTACAATACATTGTTTGGGTTAAAGCTATAATCTAACTGGGTAAGCATCTGTTAAAACAGCAGCTCGTAAAGGTGACGAGAGCCTAGTCATGCCGGGTACTATGTTAGTGGACTGCTAATTAGGCTGTGCTTGTGTTAGTATCATATATAAACTACATGCAAGGTTTGAGTGCATCTATTCAAAATACGGCTATTGATGTTATTTCAGTTGCAACTCTACATGTGCAAAAATATACTGTATTAGTAACTTGACTCAACTGGTTAATATGTAATTTATTAGGGTTAGTCAGCCACATACCTCCAGCACTGGTGAGGTGACCTGCCAGCACTTCCATCGCTTCTGCCTTCACTAAATTTACCTTCCATACACACAAAATATTTCCAGAAACCACAATCTACTGTATTGCTCTTAACTGCACAAACAAAAGAAAAAGTACAAACAACTATGATAAATACAAATCAGAACATCCCACATGAAATGAGTGACAACATTTCAATACATCTTGGATCCCTAACAGGCCAACCGTATAAAACCAATAACATACAAGATGAAAAGATGAGCTGCTTCCTAGAGGAGTTGGTAAGGCAAGTAAACAAATATCAATATACCCAGGCCAGGATTAAAGTTCAATGACCCAGTGCATCAGCGCCTAGATACATACAGCTTCTTTAAAAGGTCAGATGTAACACAAGTAACGAGCTACGGTTTCAAGCTCAATAAGCCACAATGTAGGATGGAAAACAAGAGATGCTTTTTCACCCATATGGTTATAAACCCACAGAAGTGCCTATACCCACCAAAGCCACTAATGCCAAAACAATGGTAAATTTCAAAATCCACCTCGATACGAGCTTTATTTGCCAGCAAAAGATCAGCTGTAATGCAAACAAGTAGCAACAGTTTCAAACTCAACAAACCACAATGAGAAATGAGAACAAGAGATACTTTTTCACCCACAGGTTATAAACCCATGGAATCGCCTACCCACCGAAGCTGTGAGTGTCAAAACTGTTACATTTTAAAATCTAATTGGAAAAGATCCTCAGGACAAACAGAGCTTTGAAAAACTGCCAGGCTCCTGTCCTCATTAAAACCACTCGAGATATAGTGGCCCTAAGATAATTCAGGTAAATACCAACAAATGCAACTCAATTCCTAACGTGGAAATCTGTTCCATATACAGAAATCAATTCTGTATGTTAAATTCTGCATGCAGAATTTAAAAAAAAATGCCTTCATTAAAAAAACTATTTCTACAATAGACAACACTCGGATGAAATAATTTAATATACAGAACAATGTGTACTGCCAATTTCAAATACTATAAAGCCAGTTGGCCTATACACCTACCTTTACACTATACTGTATATGCAAAATATAATAAAATGTGAAAATGTGTAATACACTGATGTGTTGCTCAAATATTATAAAATGTGAAAATATTTTTATAATATAAATATTTTTAAATATTTTTATATCATTTATGTAAATAAACTCAAATTGTGACACAAGTGAAAACAGCAAGTATCTCAATCTGAAGATTAACTTGAAGTGTTTGAGGAAGACACACTAAGGTACATAATCTATTGCCTAATTTATTGCTTTGTTTTCCTTTCCATCTGAGTACAGTACTGTACATTATTATAGTCTTTATTATATTTAATGTATTGCATTCCCTTGTCACTGCACCATCCTGTGCCTCCTTGGCCACTAAATGAACTTAATTACTGTAACCTTCTCAGGTAAATTATGATAAGATTACAAATAAAATACAAAAACTCACATGTTTTCAATGGCCCAAGTTATCTTACCAGAGCATAAGTAATGATCTGGAGATTTGAAATGGAAGAGGTGTTTCCCCAACAATATAGTGGAAAATACCAAGATCTTCACATTGACCACAAGACTAATATAGTTCCGATAAATGAATGAATGAGCCTCAACGTGAACCTACAAACCTTGAAACTAAAGACAGCAGCTAGGCCATGACAGGCGAGTTTGACAGGTGACAGTAGGCATAAGCAAGGTCACCACTACCAGATCATCAGGTCACCCTTAGACATTAAAGGCGGGAACAAGAGCTGCAGGGATGTACAAACTGCTGGGGACGGCTCAGGAGAAGAGGAGGTGCAATCACAATCATGCTGCGGCACCTGCAGCTAATGATATCACTACCACATCTCCGGGCACCGGGCAAGTGTTCCGCATGTTGCTGTGTTTCCTTATAGTGTGTCCCTAAAACCATGACATACTGTCGTGACCCGACCATTGCCTCACTGGTGTGTCCCTACCATCAACGCATGCTGATGTCTCATCCACTCCCACAATATGCTGCATGATCTCTTATTTGTGGTTTAAAGGATATAATTTAAGCTGTGTGTTCTGTTTTCCTTTACTTATTTATCATATTTACTCATTAAATTGTCTGTTTTTATACATGCCACCTTATTTTGCAGTATTATCCAGTCACAATATGATTTGAGAAATACTTTTTCATACCTCAGCTGCAGATTTTTGGTAGTTTTAGTCTTAACATTTGTTCACCTTTCTTCTCCATCTAATGTTTGGTATATATATCATACCTCTGCCCCTCCCCTCTATCTAGTTGATATGTTTTCGTTGTGAAGACATCACACACCCTCTGAATATGCCAACTTTGGTTTGATGAACATTTTTAATAAGGTTTCCAACATTTTTCCCCCATATAATTGAGTGCCAACCAGTATTTGGCTATCAGTATACGAGAACTTGATACAGTTTCATTTATTTGGTATTCTAAAGATGGCTTGTTATTTATAACACTCATAGAATTTTCTTTTTCAGAGGAGATAAGTATCTCATCTCCCAGCTTGTGTCAAATGGGGTTTACCCTTTCCCAGTTCCACTGCATCTGGCACTTCTCTGGTTTTAATTCTGTTTGCTATCCTTGCCACTAATTGAACATCTCATCTGGGTCTTCTTGTAGCAGTTTGAAATCTTAGTTATTTAAATGTCACAATTATTTTATCATAAGCAAGCATCAAATAGAACAGTACAGTACTGTACAGTATATTCAATTGGGTAAGTCATTTATATACACTAGAAACTTGGCAGAATTAGGTCCAACTCCAATTTTGGAGCTGCTTCATTTGAAACACTTGGTTCAAAGCCCAACCATCTATACTGTCCAGCCCAACCACTTGGGCTAGACGGAAGAGCAACGGTCTCCCTTCATTCAGGTCAGATTCCTCCCTTCATTCAGGTGCCCAAGGGGTTGGGCACCATACCTTTCCCCCATCCCATCCCAAATCCTTATCCTGATCCCTTCCAAGTGCTCAGGATATATAGTCATAATGGCTTGGTGCTTTCCCTTTATGTAATCCCACCCCTGTGTCTCCTCAAAACTGGAGGAAAGTATGGTGTCATTCACTACAGTATCTGTCATGAAATGTACTAACAGTATTACCAAAATATACGTACCAGTTAAATTTCTTTTACCTACAAGGAACTACAGGGCAGATTTGGTAAGATTCACAACCACTGTATAGTTGTGTAAGATTGACTGCAGATGCTAGTTACAAAACAAGCAAAGTGTAAATTACAAGTAAAATGTGTCAAACAGCGTGCAATGCAAAATAACATTTGCCAAGACAAGCGTGTGGTGGTGGTGTGCGCTTCTCTCTCTCTCTAAACGTACCAAGAACCAAATTGTTATACTGTCACTGGCTGACCAGATAAATATACTCTGTATTACTAAACTCAGCAAGAAGCGGGATTCCTTCCCATCGGGTAATGTCACTTTACCGGCACTTGATACATATGCCAGAAGTTTGGTAGAGATCTATATCTCTTCATCCCTGAGGGGGAAGTTTTGGTACAAATTATCTTATTGCCATGTTCCATGATGCGAGGGTTGTCATGTTCTCGGAATGTACCATTAGGGTTATCTTGAGTTATCTTGAGATGATTTCGGGGCTTTAGTGTCCCCGCGGCCCGGTCCTCGACCAGGCCTCCACCCCCAGGAAGCAGCCCGTGACAGCTGACTAACTCCCAGGTACCTATTTACTGCTAGGTAACAGGGGCATTCAGGGTGAAAGAAACTTTGCCCATTTGTTTCTGCCTCGTGCAGGAATCGAACCCGTGCCACAGAATTACGAGTCCTGCGCGCTATCCACCAGGCTACGAGGCCCCTTTGTAATTATTCAGGGTGTAATGAATAATTGTTGGAACTCGCGAAGGCAGAACAGAAAGATGAATTAGTGTGTGGTGGGTATGGAGGGAAGAGTTGCCTGGTGTCTGGGTACAGCGTGCCCGGTGCTGGGGGAGGAGAAGGGGCATGCAAGAAGTACTGAAGAAGAGGGGGAGAGGAGAGCCCCGCAACAGCGCCTACCTCCTCGTTCCTGGCCTCATACACACGCTCGTCAGCATGGCCGCCGTGGCCCTGGGTCCCCGCCAGGTTAAAGTGTACCTTCTTGGTGTCTGTAGAGGACTGACGGGATGGGCTGGAGGGCGCGGGCATGCCGAGGGCGTACGTCGGGTGGGCGTAGTGTGGCGGGGTCGGGCTGGCGCCGCTTGTCGAGTCGTTGGCGTTCTCATACACAGAGTTCCTGTGGAGATGATGGTGATATTTTAGATTCAGCTACTGGAAACAAAATGCTCCAAGTAGCACGGGCTGTGGTGAGCCCATAATGAACTTACCTGGCACAGGAGCGGGGCTGTAACTTTTTGCCTGTGGAGATAATTTTTTTTTTTTTTTTTTTGAGATATATACAAGAGTTGTTACATTCTTGTACATGTGTATGAATGTGTATGAATATATAATCATCATGCAAGGAGATACATCCCACATCTCGCTTCCAAATAGTTGTATAGTATATGAAAATTGTATATTATATAGTATATTAGGAACAGGGCAGACATGATAACGACGTGCAAGATACTAAGGTGGATTGACAAAGTAGAATATAGAAGCAATATTCGAATTAAGGATCAGTAGAACGAGAGGACATAATAAGAAACTGGTAACACAGACTAGCCACAATGATGTTAGGAAGACGTTTCTCAGTCTAAGAGTCTAAGTGGAACAGCCTAGACGACGAAGTTCTCCAGGCCAATTAGTTGCACAGTTTTAAATGTAAAAATGATAAGAAAAACGAGTGAAGAGAGTCACTGCACTGAACTAACGATGGTTGAAAGGCGGGGCTTAAGAGCAGAGGCTCGACCCTGCAAGGTGAGTACACACACACACACACACACACACACACACACGTACGTACGTACGTACGTACGTTATATGATAAAGAGTGCTGGGAAGACGGGACACCACGAGCATAGCTCTCATCCTGTAACTACACTTAGGTAATTACACACACACGCGCACGCTATTAGAAAATTTGAAAGTTAAATTTTGCCTCAAAATACCCGCACGGCTTTAGGAAAGAAAATTTGTGTTTAATAAATTTACTGGATTTTAAAAAAGTAAGATAAAATGCCCCATAGAAATACAGAGCCTAATCACAAGTCGAATAATGATTTATTGGCGGGATCCAAGAACTGGAGCTCAATCACCGCAATCGAAATGACCCTCTAATATCCAATGTTCAAATGATGTTATTACCAAAACGACTTTTCTTTAATATATTCCCATACGTATCAGTGCAAGCAGTGTTCATATGCCTGGGATTAATATCATTAAATATAAAGTTGGAGATAAAGTCCAATAGTTAATGTCTAACAACCTTCCCCGACGTCTGATTAAAACCATTTAATGTACTCTAATCCTATTGCACTACCACTCACTAGATGGGTATGAATATGCAAAATAAATCATTAACTATATGCAGGCGATGAGTCACAATAACGTGGTTAAAGTATGTTGACCAGACCACACACTAGAAGGTGAAGGGACGACGACGTTTCGGTCCGTCCTGGACCATTCTCACAATCGACTTGAGAATGATCCAGGACGGACCGAAACGTCGTCGTCCCTTCACCTTCTAGTGTGTGTGGTCTGGTCAACAAATCATTAACCAGCCTATAACTGGAAATGCCGGCTGGGAGCTTGAGCTCGACCCTGCCAGCACACTCACCTAGGTGAGTACATTAAGGTGAGTGCACAGCCTTCACTCCCCCTGTCCATAGAGGACAGAAGGAAATGTATATATGCTGGTTAGCATTGTAAATGTGTGGCCACGTTTGTGGTAGAAAATAATAATAATAAAAAAAAACCCACACAACACATCCCGGACGAACCCAAAACAAATCGTCAATATCACTCCCATGACACCCCGGGTTTTATTCTTTTTTTTCTGCGTGAAAATCGTGTCCTGCAGTTTTTATTTGTATAGTGAGTCTCGTTTGGCTGTATCCTGTGCTTGCGGGGGTTGAGCTCGTAAGTGTTTGCGTCTTTGGTCCCGCCTCTCAACTGTCAATCAACTGGTGTACAGGTTCCTGAGCCTACTGGGCTCTATCATATCTACACTTGAAACTGTGTATGGAGTCAGCCTCCACCACATCACTGCCTAATGCATTGAGCCATGTCAATGTTAACCTACTCTGACACTGAAAAAGTTCTTTCTAACATTCCATCTGTCCTCTGTGGCTCATTTGGGTACTGAGTTTCCACCTGTGTCCCCTTGTTCGCGTACCACCCGTGTGAAGCAGTTTACCCTGTCAATTCCTAAGAATTTTGCAGGTAGTGATCATGTCTTCTCGAGTTCTCCTGTCTTCCAGCAACGTGAGATACATTTCACGCAGCCTTTCCTCGTAATTCATGCCTGTTAATTCTGGGACTAGCCTAGTGGCATACCTCTCAACTTTTTCCAGCTTCGTCTTGTGCTTGACAAGGTACGGGCTCCATGCTGGGGTCCCATACTCTAGAACTGGTCTTACCTATGTGGTACACAAGGTTCTGAAGGAATCTTTACACAGGTTCCTGAAGGCAGTCCTGATGTTTGCCAGTCTTGCATACGCCGCTGATGTTATTCTTTTGATGTGGGCTTCAGGAGACAGGTTTGGCGTGATATCAACTCCTAGATCTTTCTCTGTCCGTTTCATGAAGGACTTCATCTCCCATTCGGTATCCCGTGTCTGGCCTCCTGTTTCCTCCACCTAGTTTCATTACCTTACATTTACTTGGGTTGAACTTTAGTAGCCATTTGTTGGACCATTCCTTCAGTTTGTCTAGGTCATCTTGTAGCCTCATACTGTCTTCCTCTGTTTTAATCCTCCTCATAATTTTTGCATCATCAGCAAACATTGAGAGGAACGAGTCTATTCCCTCTGGGAGATCATTTACATATATCAGAAACAGTATAGGTCCAAGGACTGATCCCTGTGGGACTCCACTGGTGACGTCTCGCCAATCTGAGACCTCACCCCTCACACTGACTCGCTGTCTTCTGTTGCTTAGGTACTCCCTTATCCAATGGAGTACCTTCCCTTTCACTCCTGCCTGCATCTCCAGCTTGTGCACTAGTCTCTTATGTGGTACTGTGTCAAAGGCTTTCTGGCAATCCAAAAATATGCAGTCTGCCCACCCCTCTCTTTCTTGCCTGATATGATTTGCCATCCCTGAACCCATGATGGTGATGTGTTACAAAGTTCTTTCGCTCCAGATGTTCCACTAGCTTTTTTTCGCACAATCTTCTCCATCAACTTGCATGGTATGAAAGTTGGGGACACTGGCCTGTAGTTCAGTGCCTCCTGTCTATCCCCTTGTATATCGGGATTACATTAGCCGTCTTCTAAATTTTAGGCAGTTCACCTGTTACCATTGATTTGTTATACACCATGGAGAGTGGCAGGCACAGTGCTTCAGATCCTTCCTTTAATATGCATGGGTGAGAATCCATCCGGGCTTATAGTCTTTGTCACATCCAACTCTAGCAAAAGCTTCCTTATCTCTGCACTGGTAATCCCGAACTCTTCTAGTGGTGCCTCGTTAACTATTTCCTCTCTTATTTCGGGAACTTCTCCTTGCTCTAGTGTGAATACCTCCTGGAATTTCTTATTGAATTCCTCGCACACTTCCTTGTCGTTTGTAATGAATCTGTCTGTCCCTATCATCAGTTTCATTACCTGTTCCTTCACTGATGTTTACCTCCTGATGTGGCTATGCAGCAATTTAGGTCGAGTCTTTGCCTTGCTTGCTATGTTATTTTCGTATTGTCCTTCTGCCTCTCTTCTCAGCCTGACGTATTCATTCCTAGTCCTCTGGTATCATTCTCTGCTCTCAAGTGTCTTGTTATTTCTATAGTTTCTCCACGCTCTTGTACTTTTTTCTCGCCGGCGCCCGGAATCGAACTCGGGACCACAGGATCACGCGTCCAGCGTGCTGTCCGCTTAGCCACCGGCCCCCTCAGGGGCCGGTGGTGTGTGTGTGTGTGTGTGTGTGTGTGTGTGTGTGTGTGTGTGTGTGTGTGTGTGTGTGTGTGTGTGTGTGTGTGTGTGTGTGTGTGTGTGTGTGTAGGGGGGGAGCGAAAGAACAGAGCTTAACCCCCGCAAGCACAACTAAGTAAATACCCCCCCCCCCCCCCCACTCCCCAGGAAGCAGCCCGTAGCAGCTGTCTAACTTCCCAGCTACCTATTTACTGCTAGGTAAATGGGGGCATAAGGGTGAAAAACTTTGCCCATTTGTTTTCCCGCCAACGCCGGGGATCGAACCCGGACCCAAGGATTACGAGTCCCAAGCGCCGTCCACGCTGTCATCCTGGGAACGGGCGCGCGTTACCCGCCAAACACACACCGAAACTACGACGTTGCTACAACGTTCGAACAAGTTTTAACACCACCTAACCAGTTATAACAACCAACATAGCAAGTTGTAACAACGTTCTAATACGTCATAAACACGTTAAGCCAAGATGTAACAACTTTATTACAAGTTGTAACAAGCGGAAATTAGAGACAGTTACGGGTTGTGTTTCCAGGGTTCGAGGCTTCCGGTCGCCGACAAAAGGACACTAAATATGCACCTCAATCCATCAGTAGTTAAATACAAATAAATAAAATGGCGAACAAAATGTTGACTCAACACAACGTTATATTGAAAATAAAAAAAGAGGGTTTTGAGCTGGGAATTAAAAACAAACAAATGTACAAAAACAACATCCAGGTGATGGATGGAGCAGACACAGCAGCAGGAGCGTGGCGCAGACACAGCAGCTGCAGGTGCAACGTGGAGCAGACACAGCAGCAGGAGCGTGGAGCAGACACAGCAGCTGCAGGTGCAACGTGGAGCAGACACAGCAGCAGCAGCGTGGAGCAGACACAGCAGCTGCAGGTGCAACGTGGAGCAGACACAGCAGCAGCAGCGTGGCGCAGACACAGCAGCAGCAACAGGAGCGTGGCGCAGACACAGCAGCAGGAGCGTGGCGCAGACACAGCAGCAGCAACAGGAGCGTGGCGCAGACACAGCAGCAGCAGAGAACAAGAACATACTCCAACATACAGTAATACCAAGGTCCCAGTAACTAGTAAGAGTCCAACACCCAAAATATATCAAGTTACCAGCCCCCCCCCCCCAGACCCGCCGCCGCCGCCGCCCACCCGGGTCCGAGACCTATTAATTCCTGCCGTCTCTTGCAGGTTCCCCACAGCACTGTGG